AGTTTCCCATCTTTACTTAAGGATAAATCATGGTATCACTAATTTGCTTTAGTATACTTGGCTAGATTATTTGTATAAAGTGCAGAAAGAGTAATTGTTTTTTACATAGGCTTTTGTTTTAATTGGCTTTGATGGAACTTTGTTCCATAGAAGAAATTTCAGGCCGGGTGCGGTGGCTCAAGCCTGTAATCCCAGCACTTTGGGAGGCCAAGGCGGGTGGATCATGAGGTCAAGAGATTGAGACCATCCTGGTCAACATGGTGAAACCCTGTCTCTACTAAAACTACAAAAAAATTAGCTGGGCATGGTGGCGCGTGCCTGTAGTCCCAGCTACTCAGGAGGCTGAGGCAGGAGAATTGCCTGAACCCAGGAGGCGGAGGTTGCGGTGAGCCGAGATCGCGCCATTGCACTCCAGCCTGGGTGACAAGAGCGAAACTAAGTCTCAAAAAAAAAAAATTTTCAGATAAAACTTTTTTCTTTTTTTTTGATACAGAGTCTCACTCTGTTGCACAGACTGGAGTGCAGTGGAATGATCTCAGCTCACTGCAACCTCTACCTCCTGGGTTCAAGTGATTCTCCTGCCTCAGCCTCCCGAGTAGCTGGGACTACAGACTCACACCACCACACCCAGAAAATTTTTGTATTTTTAGTACAGACAGAGTTTCACCATGTTGGTCAGGATGGTCTCGATCTCTTGACCTCATGATCTGCCCGCCTTGGCCTCCCAAAGTGCTGGGATTATAGATGTGAGCCTCAACGCCTGGCCCAGATAAGACTTTTTAAAAGTCAAACCCAGCCATGGATTTGTGCCATCAAATACCTATGAGTTAGGTCAATTTTCTCTCCTCTCAAGGTTCCAAGATAAACTGGCGGCTTCTGGGCCTGTCAGAAAGTGACATTCTTTACTTACCATGGGTCAGAAATGCTGCAGGCACTCTGTACACAAAATATGAGGCCAGATTTCCAAAAAGGCTTTATTGGCTTCACAAGTCAAGTTTAATTACTTAAAGGAAAGCACACCATTCCAGTCAAAGCCTTCATCAAATAACCAGTTCCTCCAATTGTGTCCTATTACAAATGAAAACAGATTATTATCGCACCTACGCAAATAACTATATTTCTATAAGGTAAGAATACTCACAGTTTCCAAATCAGGTAGAGAAAAACAAATATGCTCCAAATTTTGTTCAAAGGAGTATACTAAATTGTCAAAAGCTGTCAATAGTTCAAAAGAAGTTTCAAAACTCTGAAAAACAAAACAAAGGATCAGCAACATTTTAAGCAAAAAGTAAAAAAAGATTAGTTCAGTCCATGCAGTTAATTTCTGTTCTGCTTCATACTCTGAACCTGCATTAAAAAGCACCTGTTAGAGTTTTATAGCTGATTATAAAACCACCTTCCAAAGAAGACCAAAACAAGACAACAATTGCCCATGGATGACAAGAAGTTTTAGGGCAGCCATAGTCAAAGACACAATTGACAAAAAAACTTGTTACTTCTGTGGCACATGATAATTTTAACATGACAATTATGATTATTACTGATAATGTACACTAAATCATATCAGAATTATAGGAGTTTCCTATAATTTTGGAACACATACAAATAACATATTTATACAAATACAGCACAAACAAGATCAAACACCATTTCATATTTGACAATGCTTCCTGTATAATTTTTATACAAAATAAGCCAAATTATGGCATGTTTGGACTTGAGGGAACGTAATATTTTAAAGGATTAATTAGGTCAGAAAAAGACGTAATTTATAATTTGATTTTGGAAAGTCTGTCAAATATAAAAGGTTTAAAACACGGTATCACAAAATAGGATTACAGGTCATTGTAAAGTCATTCACTTAACCAAAGGGGTAACTCAAGGATTTCAACAACAACAACAAAAAGTAAAAATGTTAAAGCGTTCATTCTTTGAGAGAGGAGACTTGATTTCCCAAACAAGAAGCCCCAATAAAGACAGCATGACACCAATTAAATTTGTTTTTCAAAATGTTGTCAATAATCTATAAAATTTAATCTTAATCATAAAACTTCCATAAGCCTTTTGTGACCATTATAGCCTTTATCAAGAAGTTGGTTAACACTTCAAAAAAACCTTGTTAATCTGAAACGGGGGTCCCTATGCTGGTCTTGCATCAATGTGCCTTTGACCTTAACGATTAATATATACAGAAACAACTTACTTTAGGCCAGGCATGGTGGCTCACACCTGTAATCCCAGCATTTTGGGAGGCCGAGGCAGGTGGATCAGGAGATCAAGAAATCAACATTGTCCTCGCCAACATGGTGAAACCCCGTCTCTACTGAAAATACAAAAATTTGCTCGGCATGGTGGGACACACCTGTAGTCCCACCTACTCAGAAGGCTGAGGCAGGAGAATCACTTGAACCTGGGAGGCGGAGGTTGCAGTGAGCTGAGATCATGCCACTGCACTCCAGCCTGTCTCAAAAAAAGAAAGAAAGAAAAGAAAAGAAAAAGAAAGAAAGAAAAAGAAAGAAAGAAAGAAAGAAAGAAAGAAAAAGAAAGAAAGAAAGAAAGAAGGAAAGAAAGAAAAGAAAAAAAGAAGGAAAGGAAAGGAAAGGAAAGAAAGGAAAGAAGGAAAGGAAAAAGGAAGGAAAGGAAAGAAGGGAAGGGAAGGGAAGGGAAAAGGGAAGGGAAAAGGGAAGGGGAAAGGGTAGGGGAAAGGAAAGGAAAGGAAAGGAAAGGAAGGAAGGAAGGAAGGAAGGAAGGAAGGAAGAAAGAAAGAAAGAAAGAGAGAGAAAAGAAAGAAAGAAAGAAAGAAAGAAAGAAAGAAAGAAAGAAAGAAAGAAAGAAAGAAAGAAGAAAAGAAAAAGGAAAGGAATGGAAAGGAAAGGAAAGGAAAGGAAAAGAAAAGAAGGAAAGAAGGAAAGAAAGAAAGAAAGAAACAACCAACTTATTTTATCCCTCAAATTTGGCCCTTATAATCTCACACACCTACCTCTTCCGTGATAGTCCCTGGGCCTTGAGGAGTTGAATGGCTTAATTTCTTGCTCTGGGTCTCAGGAATGCAGTTTATTCTTATTGGCATCTTCTATAGGGCCTGAAGATGAGGATTTAATTTAAGTGTTTAACATTTAGCAGGACTTGGTGTCCTTTTTAGATCCAGGAGTGAAAGCCCTGTAACTTAATGTCACAAATGCTTTAAAAGCACATACAGAAACATACACGGACATAATAAATGAAATAGAAATTACTTTGACAAAACATAAAATCTGTCGGCCATTCACCAAAGGTAAAAGAAAAAGACCTTCTGCAGTGGACAGAATATTGTTTTGGAAGAAAACACTTCCTAGACCTTTAAGAAAACGTGTCTTTTCAAAGGATAGAGAAAGCCTAAAAATGGTAAGATGCAAATAATTTAAATATCAAAGCACCCCACACAGTAGTGACTCTAATGAATACCAAAGGACATCACTGGTTAACAAAATGCTAGTCCTACCAAATACCTGAGCCTGCTAAAGTGAAAATCTCCGCATCACCACTGGGGTCTGTGCAACACCTTAACTAACCTCTGCCACTTTGCCCCCGGTGCCAGGAGGCCCATGAAATAACCCGTGTGCTGCTTCAAGATCTCATCTCTAGGTTTGGACTGCCACTGCACATTGGATCAGATGACAGACCAGCATTTGTGGCGAATTTGGCCCAAAAGACAGCAATGACCTTGGGGTATTACTTTGGAAACTGCACACTGCCAGTTGACCTCAGAGTTTGGGAAAAGTGGACAGAATGAACTGGACCATCAAAAATAGCTTAGGGAAAGTGTGTCAAGAAACAGGATCAAAGTGGTTGCAGGCACTTCTCTTGGTGTTATTCAAAATTAGATGCACTCCCTCTAAGAGGACAGGATATTCCCCCTATGAAGTCATGTATCATAGGCACCCTCCCATACTCCGGGCACTCCTCGGGAGTGGGGAGAGATTGAGTTAGGACACCAGTTACAAACTCTAGGAAAAATCGCTCAGGATATTTCAACCTGGGTAAATGAAAGATGTTCTGTAAGCTTATTCTCCCCAGTTCACCCTTTCTCACCAGGTGATCGTGTATGGATAAAGGACTGGAATGCAGCCCCTCTGAAGCCACGGTGGAAAGGACCCCAGACCGTGATCCTGACTACTCCCACAGCTGTAAAGGTAGAGGGACTCCCAGACTGGATCCACCACAGCTGTGTGAAAACCAGCGCAGTTGAAACTTGGGAAGTAACACCAAACCCAGACAATGACTGCAAAATCACCTTAAGAAGAACTACAAGTCCTGCTCCAGCCACATCCTGGAAGCTGGCTGGCCCACGCATGGCCGAAGCAAGAGGAAATTAATCGTGGGACTTGTTCTTCTTAATATTTGGACTTGTACAGTAGGGACATTAACTAATTTTGAAGAATGCTCTCAGTGTGTACACCAGGTTACTAAGGTAGGATGTAAAGTTACTGCCATTCTTTTGTTAAACAGCTATTATGAATGTACAGGGACATAGAAGGGAAACTGTTTATATAATGGTACTTAGTATAAGGTGTGCAATCCAGGGTATGGACAGCCCAATGTCTGCTATGATCCATCAGAGCCCCCTACACATACAACTTTTGAAATTAAACTTCTAACAGGGTGATGAGACAGCCCTGCCAAGCTAATAGCAAAAACAGAGGAGAAGGGAAGCCCAAAACAGGTTACATTAAGGTTTGATGCCTATACAGCCATCAATGCCTATCATTCCAGTAGGAGAGCTGTGGTTCCCTCGGATAGGAACAAGGTTATGCAAAACAGCACAAGTATATCTGCCAGAGAACCTACTGGTGCAGTAATTGCATTTTTGGGTTATGTGTCATCTGGGCCACTAGGAAAAACAATACAAATAATTCCATATTTCTTGTACAAGGGAGAAACACCATTCCAGGGAGTAATGTTGCTTGTGTCTCAGGACATTGTAACCTAGTAGAATTAATAATTACGAACCCTCAAGACCCTAAATGGGAAAAACGGGAGAGTGTAATGCTAGGAACTGATGGAAAAGGGCTTGACCCCGGAGTCAGTATCCAAATTCAGGGAAAAATAAAAAAATGCTCAGCCTGGCCAGTGTACCAGCACTTTTGTGGTATATTAAATAAGCCAATGCCAGAACTTCCAAAAAAGACAAAGAACTTGTTCCTCCAATTTTCTGAAAATGTGGCTCATTTCCTCAATGTTACTTCTTTTTATGTATGTGGAGGGACGGCTCTGGGTGATAGGTGGCCATGGGAAGCCCGTGAGTTATTACCCTCTGACCCTGTCCCTGACCTGACCTGAGTTCAAAGGGTTCAAACCAGCAGTTTCTGGGTTTTAAAGGTTTCAATTATCGGACAATATTGTTTGGCCAGAGAAGGAACAGACTTCACTGTTCCAGTTGGAAAGCTTAGCTGCATAGGGCAGTGACTGTACCCTGGTGGAGCTCAATCCATACAGAAAAGAACCCCCTCCTAAAATTTCCAAAATTACAGGATGCTTGCAATCACCCTGGGTCCTGGAGAGACTAGACAGCCCCTCCTGGGTTGTACTGGATATCAGGACATAGAGCATAGGTACAGCTGCCTGAAATATGGACAGGTAGCTATGTCATAGGCATCATTAAGCCTTCTTTTTTCCTATTATATGCTAAGACAGGTGAGCTGTTAGGACATCCAGTCTACTCTGCCCAGGGAGTGAAAAGAAGTCTGAAAATAGGTAAATGGGAAAATAATAAGTGGCCACTGGAAAGAATTATTGAGTCCTATAGGCTGGCCACAGGGACAGAGAATGGCTCATAGGGACACCGGACTCATATCTATATGCTAAATCAGATCATCCAGTTGCAGGCTGCCTTTGAAATACTCATTAATAAAACGGGCAAAGCTCTGTCCATTTTGGCCAGACAAGAAACTCAAGTGAGAAATGCCATTTATCAGAACCGGTTGGCCTTAGATTATTTGCTGGCAGCTGAAGGAGGAGTCCGTAAAAAATTCAAACTAACCAACTGCTGCCTGCACATAAACGACCAGGGTGATGCAGCTAAGAATATAACCAAACTAGCACACGTGCCTGTGCAGGTCTGGCATAAATTCAATCTAAGTTCTCATTTAAAGGTTGGTCCTCAGCCTTGGGAGGATTAAAAACCTTCATCACAGACGTAATAACAATAGTGGGTGTTTACTACTGCCCTGTTTTCCCCCCTTGTTTCTCTAAATGGCTAAGAAAACCTTTACTGCTATAATAGACCAGAAGAACCACATCACAAATGTTTTATATCTGTCATTATCAATCAGTTTCTTCAGAGGATCTGGAAAATGAGAATGAAAGTGAGACCTCTCACTAATATTATAGAGTGGTGAGGGGCTCAAAGTGTTGGGGGAGGGGGGTGAGGAAGGAGACCCAGGCATCTAGGATTGCCTCCCCCTTGACTTCCACACTGCATTTCAATAGAAGAAAAGGCTGGCCGACTGGTGCCTCCTAAATCACCTTCTTGTAAATAGCAGGCATTGTGATATTGTGCCAGAATTGCTAGCCTTTGCTTAGTTATTTAGTAATAACTAAAATAAGCAGCCCAGGATAACTAAGATCTGTGTGTAAACAAATGCTTATCTTGACTTCTGTAAACCACTGAAGTAACAAACAGAATGACAAAAGTCCCTTGGCCCTTGGAATGTCCGGAGACCCCTGCCCTCATCTCCGCCCAGGAGGTGAATTACAGAATCCCCTGGACCTTGGAATGTCCGGAGACCACCGCCCTCGTCTCCGCCCAGGAGGTGAATCACAGAATCCCCTAGCCCTTGGAATGTCTGAAACCTTTTCATCCCCATCCCCGCTCCTCACCCCCACTCCCAAGGTGGTTTTTCGGGTATAAAAAGTCTTGGCACCCTCCTTTTGATGCCACAGGTTGGAGAGACAGGAGTCCTCTGTGGTCACCGGTATAATAAATGACCCTGCAATCTGGCATACTTTTGTCTTGGTGCTAACTTTCTATGCTCGGTCCAATACAACATTTGGAGGTCCCCAGCGAGATATTCTCTTTTTGTTATCACCAGACAAAACCATCTCAGAGTCTCGCCCGGGCAGCCGCTCCCACCTTGGGGGCCTCTGGGGAGGCACCCCCTGTTCTTTCCCAGGGCCCCGGAGTGCCACCATGGAGGATAAGCGACCTCTCAGCTGACATTCACCCGAAATTCCTCAGGGTCCTAAAAAAAAAAACCTCCGGAGGTAAGTCTGGTCTGGGAACTAGTTCAAAGGAAGGGCCAGAATCATTGCAACTCTGACCTGGCAAGCCTCACCGAGACGTCGCTTGAGGCTTCTGGTAGCTGGTGCAGTGGGTATCAGCGTTCGCCTTCTGGTGGCTGTCATAGTGGGTGGCAGCCCTCTGGTAGCTGGTGCAGTGGGTACCAGCGTTCGCCTTCTGGTAGCTGGCATAGTGGGTGGCAACGTTCGGTTGTTTTTCGTAACCTCTGAGTGAGAGAGTGAGTGTGTATATATGTAGTCCCACGGCTGAAAGGCTACAGGGCTTGTGTGGGCCTTCACCTGCAGTTCCACTGGGGCGTCGTAGGGCATAACGGTGATTCACCTCAGAGCTGTCCTATTTGGACTTCCATCCTGAGGTGACCAGGCCCGGGGATTATACGGGTACACCTTAGCCAAAACACCCCTGAAAATTCCTCCGGGAAAGTGGCCGGGCAGGCATCTGACTGGTCTCCCATCTGGGGGGCACCCACCCTTTGTCTGTCACTCTTGAGGTCCTGTCTCATCTGTAAATTTGTCAGGTTTTTTTTTCTTTTTCTTTTTTTTTAAATTTGTCAGTTTTAAATAAAACTCCTGCTAGCAGACATACACTGGTTCAGGCCATCTTCTCTTCAGGTAGGAGATATCTTACAGTGGTTAACGAACCACTGGATGCAGGGAAATTTTATTGATTACACCCCAGCAAAAATTAGTCTTTTCTCTTTCTTTCCCATCTTCTTCTATCACTGAGGCCTCACTCTTTCTTCCTTTGCCATGTGGCAGATAATCTTAACTCTAGTTGTCTTTATTCTCTTCCTTGTTTTGGTCATTGTGGCCTGTAAATTCTCCCAGCCACCTCCACCAGGAAAAGAGTACTTTTTTTGCCTGTGCTGGGTCAGATTCCATGCTGGGAAGGCCGTTGTGCCCTCGACACCTTGGAGGTAGTTTCTTTGGAGCTTGTGTGGAACAAAACCCTAGATCAGAGTTTACGGGTGCTCTTTCTTAGGCTGGGATGGAAAATTGGTAACTGCCTATTCTGCCAGGAAAGTGTCCAATGTTGTTATGGGCAGTACCCGACAGTGCATCACGAAGAGGCATATTGGCACTATCCTGGATGTTGGGAGGTAGGATGTCACCGCCCCAGTAAAATCTGACTGGCAGCACTTCTACACACTCTACCGGGTGTGGTGGGTCCAAAACACACATCCAGTAGACCTCCTAGTCCACCTGTTTTGTCACTTCCTGACCTTTCTGAAGCAATTGGCCATTAAAAATGTATAAAGGGGAGGATTATGCCCGGGCAGCGCTAAACCTCCATAGTGCTCATTCTCACCAGTTGTGGTTTGCGGGGGAAAAAAAGACAGCTGCCTTACCTTGGCCCCTACCCCCGTTCCTCTGACTAGGACTAGGAGTAAACCCTAAAATCCAGTTGTCTGGTCCTTGCAGGACCTGGCTGCAGAGGCCCTGCTAAAACCTGCTTTAAAGAGGGCCAAATTTTAAATGTGAGGCTTTCCAAAATTGGCTTTACTACAGAAAGAGAGAAAGTAGAGAAGAAAGGAGACAAAAAGGAGAGAGAGAGAGAAGGGGACCAGAAGCTGCGGGGGTGGAGAACTCGCCGCCAGCAAGTTCAGTTTTAAACTGACATTAAGAGCGTTTTTTTTTTTTTCCTTTCTCTGCCAGCAGTGAGCCCTGCCCAGCTTTGAGGCAGGCCACACTGCCTCAGGGTGCAGCATTTGCGTCCAGAATCTGCCTTTAAGAAAAGCTTTCTAACTTTTTGTAACAAAAGTGACTTGTTAGCACAGTCGTTAAGGTGTGGGGCCTCCAACTGCAAGGTTGTTGGTTCAAATCCTCAGTGAAGCCAGTTTTAAATTAGGGAAATCAGTTTTAAATTAGTGAATTCTCTTGAGGGAAAACTTGGCATTAAAAAAAAAAAAAACCACAAATGGGGTCATCTAGCTCCCGGCCTTGTATCTCCCTCCAATGCATGACAGCCAACTTCAAGGTTGGGTTCTCAGGCCAATATGGGGTTAAATTAACCCCTGGGAAACTCCGGCCAATATGGGGTGAAATTAACCCCTGGAAAATTCCGCTCTTTGTGTGAACTTGAATGGCCGTCTTTTGGAATTAGGTGGCCAAATACTGGGACCTATGACACAAAAATTACCCAGGCTGTATGAAAAATGGTTGCAAAAACTTCTGGATACCCTAAGCAGTTTCCATACATCAACCAATGGTTGGGTTTAGTCCAACGGCCTCCCCCATGGCTAAAGTGCTGCATAAAACAGGCTAGACTTCAGGTCACGTTAGCCAGCCCAAAAGAAAGTCCCTTCTGGGCCAGCCATTCTGCTCACCCCAGCAGAGGATCAGGAATTACTTCCACCCTACTCAAGGCCCTCTAAACCAGCGCCTCAGCACCCCCCTCGACAGTACTATTAACCAATCCTTGTCCCCCCTGCACACCCGTAGCGGGGCCCCTGCACCCACCGGCAGTCCTCCCTTTCCAAGAGGCACCCCCAACAGAAGACAATCGGAGTCGCCCATTCTTTGTTCACATCCCCTTCTTGTCAAGTCACTTACATAACTGGAAGGTGATAGAGATCAAAGAGAGGGTCAAAACACCAAGTGCTTGCATGAGCTTTAAAAGCAAGGGAAAGCTGCCGGGCTAAACTCAAAATTGGCAGCACCCATGGCATGGCAAAGGGGATTTCTATGGCCTGCAAGCTGGCAGAGATGCGTCCAGTGTGAGGGGCTGTGCAGGAGGGAAGTGCTGGGGAACTGCTAAGAGTTCCCAGGAGGGGGTTGTACTGAAGAATGGCTAAGATGGCCAGAGGGGGAGGGTTAGGTACCTGCCCAGATAGAAAGTTCCCTGGGAGGGGGTAGTGCTGGGAGGCTGGGGAATTTAAGGCGGTGACGTTGCCGAGGTTTTACAATGAAACCCAACATCCCCCCCTACTCTGAGAAGCCCCAGGCTTTGACAGAACTCTTAAAATCTGTATTCCAGACGCATTGCCCCACTGGGGACAACTGCCAAGAATTATTAACTAATTCTGTTCACCACAGAGGAAAAAGGCAAAATTAGACAGGAAGCCCTGAAAGCCATCATAGGTCCAGGGCGAGGAAAAAGTTTTTTTCCCTCTACCTGACCCCAATGGGACCTCAACACCTTGGGGGGTGGGGTCACCAGGCTCTGAACACTTTTCACCGGTATCTTATAGAAGGGGTTAGGGGAGTGGCCCACAAGCCCACTAAACTCTTCGAGGTAGGAACTGTAACTCAGGGTCCACAGGAGTTGCTAGCTGCTTTCCTTGAGCGCTTACTGGACGCCTATTACCCTGAGGCCCGGAGAATCAGTGGGCCATCAATCTGGCTTTTGTTTCCCAGTCTGCCCCAGACATCAAAAGAAAATTGCAAAAATTAGAGAGGTTCCAGAGAATGAATTTAACTCAGTTGTTAAAAATTGCCCAAAAAGTCTTTAACAATAGAGACACCTTAGAGGCCAAGCAAAATAAGAGAGTTACTAAGGCAGTGATAGCAGCACTCCAGGAAAAACCACAACTAGCCCCTGGACCACAAATCGATTCGTTGATCTGGGAAATGGCACTCACCCATTCCCTGAGTGTCCATATCCACTCCTGGGACGGGACTTGCTCCACAAACTGCAAGCAAATATTTCTTTCAGCGAGGGTCAAGCTTGCCTCTCAATTCCTCCTCCCTTAGCCACAGGGCCACCTCAGCAGATCCTCATCACCTGTGCTCTGTCAGACGAGTATCTCTTGCAGGAAGCTTTATCCTCAGAGGCGGATCAACTACCTGCACCAGACTTCCTCCGCAAATTTCAAGAGAGTGTACCAGGAGTATGGGCTGAAACAAGTCTCCCAGGGCTGGCAAGTCACCGCACCCCAGTCGTGGTCCAGCTATTAGCAACGGCAACTCCAGTCCAGGTGAAGCAATACCCTATGAGCCGGGAAGCCAGGCGAGGAATTGCTCCGCACATCACCAGACTCTTGAAGGGAGGAATCCTCACTACCTGTAAGTCTCCCTGGAACACCCCCCTTGCTCCCCGTGCTAAAACCAGGCACACAGGACTATCGGCCTGTGCAGGACTTGAGGGAGGTGAATAAACGGGTAGAAACTGTTCATCCTACAGTTCCAAATCCGTACACCCTCCTATGTCTCTTGGACCCAGAACACCATTACACTGTCTTGGATCTTAAGGATGCATTCTTTTGCATCCCACTAGCCCCTGTTAGCCAGTCTATATTTGCTTTTGAATGGACCAACCCTGAAACTGGAGTCTCGGGGCAACTCACTTGGACAAGACTGCCTCAGGGGTTCAAAAGCTCCCCCACTCTGTTTGATGAGGCACTTAGCCAAGACCTTGCTGCCTTCCGAGCTGAGTTCCCAGAGTGTACCCTACTCCAATACGTGGATGACACTCTTGGCTACAAAAACCCAGGAGGCCTGTAAAGAGACCACCCAGTCATTATTAGAAACCCTGCAGATTTTGGGGTACCAGGTCTCAGCTAAAAAGGCCCAATTCTGCCAGCCAAAAGTGACTTAACTGGGCTATGTTATAGAGAAGGGCAACCGGGCACTGGCACCCAGCCGAATCCAAGCAGTGCTGCAAACACCCACCCCCACCACGAAACGCCAAGTTCGAGAATTCCTTGGGGCAGTAGGTACTGCAGGCTATGGATTTTGGGATTTGCTGAGACAGCCAAGCCCCTGTATGCCTGTGCTGGAGGAAATCAGCCCTTGACATGGACAGAGGTGGAGCAACAGGCTTTTGACAAGCTCAAGACTGCCCTGACTGCAGCCCCAGCCATGGCCTTGCCAGACATCTCTAAACCTTTCCAGTTGTTTGTGCATGAGAAACAGGGAGTCACTAAGGGGGTGCTCACCCAGACATTGGGACCATGGTCCCAGCCAGTTGCCTACCTTTCAAAAAGACTTGATCCCGTAGCCTCTGGGTGGCCAGCTTGTTTGAGGTCGGTGGCAGCTACGGCCCTGTTAGTCAAAGAGGTGGACAAACTGACTTTGGGGCAGGAGTTGAACTTAGTGGCACCCCATGCGGTGGAGTCGCTACTCCGTGGAGCTCTGGGAAAATGGATGTCTAATGCCCGCATAGCCCAATACCAGGTCTTACTTTTGGACCAGCCCCGCATAAAATTTTCAAAAACCACAGTTTTAAACCCCGCCACGCTGCTACCTGACAGCGAACCAGGGAAGCCCATACATGACTGCCAACAGACAATAGATGTCCTCCACGCTGCGCGACCGGATCTCACCAATGTCCCCCTGCAGAACCCAGAGGAGGTACTGTATACAGATGGCAGCAGTTTCATGGTCGACGGAGTCAGGTATGCTGGGGCAGCTGTGGTCACTCTAGAGCAGGTTATCTGGGCCCAGGCTCTTCCACACGGAACCTCAGCCCAAAAGGCAGAACTAATAGCTTTAATAAAGGCCTTGGACTAGGTGGAGGGAAAAATTGTTAACATCTACAGGGATAGCTGGTATGCCTTTGCTACGGCCCATGTGCATGGTGCCAGTTATAAAGAAAGAGGATTGCTTACCTCAGAGGGAAAAATCATCAAAAACAAAGAGGAAATCCTAGCTCTACTAGAAGCTATATGGAAGCCTAAGGCAGTGGCATTAATACACTGCAAAGGACACCAGAAAGGAGATTCACCAGAGGCAAGGGGAAACAGGGCAGCTGACCTACAGGCCAGACAGGCAGCCTTGGGGCCAGTAAAACCTCTGACTCTTCTTGTGACTCTGCCGGCCCCAACTCTGCCTCCTACCTGTACGTACTCACCTGAGGAAGAAAACTTTGCTAAAGAACAGGGGGGATGGCAAAATTCCACAGGATGGTGGACTATACTGGACACAAGGATTATGCTCCCCGAGGTTCTAGGACAGGCTCTAGTTAAGGACACACACCAGGCCACTCATTTAGGACAAACAAAACTCACTGAGCTGCTGAGGGCCAGATACTACATTCCACACTTGCATGAAATTGTTAAAGAAACTACTACTCGTTGTGAAGTATGTGCCAGGATAAATACAGGAGGCAGTAGGTCTAGTCAGGCAGGGATAAGACTCAGGGGTACTAGCCCGGGGGAACACTGGGAGGTAGATTTTACTGAAATAAAGCCCCCAGCGTGCAGCTATAAGTACCTCCTTGCGTTTGTAGACACTTTCTCTGGATGGGTCGAGGCTTTTCCTACTAGATCAGAGACAGCAATGGTAGTAGAGAAAAAATTGTTACAGGACCTGGTTCCTCAGTTCGGCTTGCCCCTGACACTGGGATCAGATAATGGCCCTGCATTTACAGCTCAGGTTTCACAGGGCCTGGCAAAGGCCCTGGGCATATCCTGGAAACTGCACTGTGCCTATCGCCCCCAGAGTTCAGGGCAGGTTAAAAGGATGAACCGGACCATAAAGGAAACTTTGACAAAATTCATTCTAGAAACCGGTGAAAACTGGGTCAGCCTGCTTCCTTTTGTTCTCCTCCGTACCCCATGTACTCCCTATAAAAAAGCTTTACTCCTTTTGAAATTCTGTTTAAAAGGCCCCCTCCCTTACTCCCCAGACTCGCGGATGCCATACATGCTGGAGTCCATAACCATACACTCCTTAAGTCCTTGCAGGCACTCCAGTCTGTTCAGTCCCAGGTGCACTTGCTCATCAGGGGAACTCGACCTACCCCAGTGGATTTCACTGACCAGCCAGTACACCCTTTCCAGCCAGGGGACAAAGTCCTGGTGAAGAGAGTCAGTGCCTCCGGCCTAACTCCTCGCTGGAAAGGACCATACACTGTAATCCTGGTCACCTGCACGGCAATCAAGGTGGACAGACTGACTGCCTGGATTCACCACTCACACGTCAAGACTGCCCCCCCGGATGCAGGATGGGAAGCGGTTCCATCCTCAACGGACCCCCTAAAGCTAAGACTATTGCGCCATTCTCGGTCATCATCCTAATCTCCCTGATTCCTGCAACCACCCTCTGAAAGGGACACTCCTTGGCACCACCTACTATCAATGGGTCATCACCGAGGGCTCCACTGGAGCATATGTTAGTTCCTTAACCGGAAAGGGATCCACCCTAGTCAACCTAACCCCGGAGTACACTCTGGAGACCCCCATTACCTTCTCCCTGGACCTCTGTGCCTTCCTGGGCCCCCACTTAAATTTCAGGACAAGTGGTGGTATAGCTGGGTGTGGCAGTTTAGGGGCAGAGCAACAACTCCAGACCATGGGGTTATATCTGTGCCCAGGATCCACCCCACCAAAAAGATGGAACTGTGGAGACTTAAATAAATTCTTTTGCCCCCATTGGGGTTGTGAAACTATCTCCACTATAACAGGATACACTGCAAACAGAAACTCTTTCATTTCTCTCACCTGCGACCCTCCCCCAAACCCCTGGCTAACATTCCTGCTCACTGGATTAGCAGGACCCTTGGTGCTAATGGTCCTAGGGTTAACATTTGGACCATGCCTTTTAAACATGCTCCTCAAATTTATCCAGGAAGGAATAAACTCGGTCAAATTGATGGTTCTGAGATCCAAATATGGGCCCTTGTGTCAAAAAGAGGAAACCTATTGAGGATTTAATACATGTTAAAAGAACAGGGGGGAATGTGATATCGTGCCAGAATTGCTAGCCTTTGCTTACCAGTAATAACTAAAATAAGCAGCCCAGGATAACTAAGATCTGTGTGTAAACAAATGCTTATCTTGACTTCTATAAACCACTGAAGTAACAAACAGAATGACAAAAGTCCCCTGGCCCTTGGAATGTCCGGAGACCCCTGCCCTCATCTCCGCCCAGGAGGTGAATTACAGAATCCCCTGGACCTTGGAATGTCCGGAGACCACCGCCCTCGTCTCCGCCCAGGAGGGGAATCACAGAATCCCCTAGCCCTTGGAATGTCTGAAACCTTTTCATCCCCATCCCCGCTCCTCACCCCTACTCCCAAGGTGGTTTTTCGGGTATAAAGTCTTGGCACCCTCCTTTTGATGCCACAGGTTGGAGAGACGTGAGACCTCTGTGGTCGCTGGCATAATAAATGACCCTGCAATCTGGCATACTTTTGTCTTGGTGCTAACTTTCTACGCTCGATCCAATACAACAGCATGGTGTGGGGGAATCTCTCCAGAAGACACTGTTTTTACTTAAACAAGATCAAACCCCCACCCCACTCCTCCATCGACCAAGACCCTTTCACATGTGATTTCTAAAACTGTAAGCTCAAGACCCTTTCATATGTGATTTCTAAAACTGTAAACCCAAGATCCTTTCACGTGTAATATCTAGAGTGTAAGCCTATATAAAGGCAGAGCTTCTCTTTGTTAGGTGAGCTTGGCCATTTAGACAAAACATAAAGCCTCGCTCTTACTTCCCAGTTCAGTGTTCGAGAGATCTGTTTCTTGTGGCCACTCCTGCTTCAGTATATAGAGAAAAAGTCTGCTGGTGATAGAGAGAGACGGTTTTATTTTTCTTTGAGCCAAATCAAACATAAAGTATAGAAATCTATCATAGGATTGTATAAGGAGACTGATTTTATTTAGATAGGGACTACATGTCTTTTAACTGGATCTCAGAGCTCTGGGCAGAGCCCACACTGAGTCCTGGGTCTCCAGAAAAAGAATTATTTTGAGGTTAGAACATGTGATACTTTTATAGTGCATTTAATTTTTTTTTTAACAAAGACATTTCTGTGTGTCTAAATTATATTCTTCCTTAAAAACCCAAGAGTAGGCTGGGCGCGGTGGCTCACACCTGTAATCCCAGCACTTTGGGAGGCCGAGGCGGGTGGATCACGAGGTCAATTGATCGAGACCATCCTGGTCAACAAGGTGAAACCCCGTCTCTACTAAAAATACAAAAATTAGCTGGGCATGGTGGCACACGCCTGTAGTCCCAGCTACTCGGGAGGCTGAGGCAGGAGAATTGCTTGAACCCGGGAGGCGGAGGTTGCAGTGAGCCGAGATCGTGCCATTGCACTCCAGCCTGGGTAACAAGAGCAAAACTCCTTCTCAAAAAAAAAAAAAAAAAACAAAAAAAAAAAAAAAAAAACCCCAAGAGTAGCCTGCTATAATAACTATTTTAGTCAAAAAATCAAGTGAAAACAGAATTCAGTCAACTGAGGAAAAAAAAAAAACTTTTGCTCAAAAAAAAAAGACAAGGTCCTAGGAGAGAAAAACAAACAGAAAACAAAAACATGAAAACTTTCTAAATACAAACATGAACACATGCATGCATACACACACAAATCTTGGATGCTAGCCTTTTAATTAAGCTAACTTTTAACCATTGAGCGCCTTTAAACAAATATTTTTAAATCTCATTACCATATTTTGGCTAGGACAAAATGCTGTTATTTCAGAAGTATAACCACTGCTCTTTCAATTTGGTCTGACTGGCAAAAAGGTGGCCGGCCTTGTTATGTAAATAAAGTCCCTTAATAGTCAAAGTCAAAATCTTTTCTCTTTTTTTTTCCTTTTGCTGGCCATTTCCTCCCCCAACCATACCACCCTTTTTGTGTGTGGGGTAGAGGGTGGGGTATTTAGCCGCTTCAGAGGCCTTGTTCCCATAATTTAGAGTTTCCCTTCAGATTTGGCCAAGTTGGAATGTGTGTAGGACCCAAAATGTATTGCTTGCGGATCTAGCTTTTCAGGGCTATTATCCCCTGAACTTGTTCGTTCCATCTGTGTGGCAGCCACCTGGCACAGTGTCAGAGGCTCAAGGTGCAGGAGGGGTCAGCTCCTTATATGCACCTGCCAGCTGAGATTAGACCCTAAGTATGTTCTTCTGAGGGGGAAACCTATTTAGAGCCACTGCATGTCTTAAGGAGCATTCCTCCCAGACACCCTCACGTGATTCTCAGTTGTCTGAGAATGCCCGGAAAGGCTGAGGGGAACAAGGTGGGTGCTCTTATTTCTTCAGAGGGGAAGATTCCATGCTCATGCGCTAGAGGGTTTGGAGTTGGTCAGATCTGATAAGGGAAAGGACCAAAACATGCAAAAAAAACCAAAACAAAACAAAAAAAAAACCAACAAGACAGAAACAAACAGTAGAACAGGTAAGCAAAACTAACAATGATCACACAAATTACATGATTTCTGAACGCTCTAAGTGTAAGCAGAAATTAACACCAGCTGGTTGTTAATGCTATCTTTAGTCACTTAAAAAGAATTTGCAAGACAAAAATCCCAAACCAGTTTTCTTACCTAGTGATAGGGCCCAAGCTGAAGACCGCTCTCTACAGATGCAGAAGCAGGCAGGCTTGCCTTCCCTGATGGAAGCGAATGGAAACTCCCAAAAAAGGAGTTATTTTAACAGCAAATAAACATCGGACCCCCACCTGAAAAACATTGGAAGATCAGGGATTCCTGGAAGAACCAGGTCCCAGACTTCAGCAATTATCCTACCAGTTTGGGCAATAAGGTGCCCAAGCCAGTACCAAGGACCAGTAGGTGAGCTGCTGCAGGCTGGGTTACCTTCACTCAGGATCCCCTAGTGCTTACCAAATGTCAATTGAGAAAAATGACAAGTCTCAATCATCTTAGGAGGCTTATTTGCCAAAGTTAAGGACACATGCCTGTGACACAGCCTAAGGATGTCCTGACGATGTGCACCCAAGGTGGTCGAGGCACAGCTTGGTTTTATACATTTTAGGCAGACATGAGACATCAATCATACATGTAAGGACAGGCCAGGGGCGGTGGCTGGCACCTGTAATCCCAGCACTTTGGGAGGCTGAGGCGGGCAGGTCATGAGGTCAGGATTCTGAGGCCAGCTTGATCAACATGGTGAAACCCCATCTCTACTAAAAATACAAAAATTAGCCGGGCATGGTGGCAAATGCCTGTAATCCCAACTACTCAGGAGGCTGAGGCAGGAAAATTGCTTGAACCTGGGAAGGCGGAAGTTGCAGTGAGCCGAGATCGCACTCCAGCAGCCTGGGCGACAAAGTGAGACTCCATCTCAAAAAAAAAAAAAAAAGAAGGATATTGGTTCTGTCCAGTAAGGTGGGGACAACTAGGAGCAGGGAGGGGGTTTCCAGGTCACAGGTAGGTGAGAGACAAATGGTTGCATTCTTTGAGTTTCTGATAAGCCTCTCTAAAGGAGGCTATCAGAATATGCATTTATCTCAGTAAGCAGAGGGATGATTTTGAATAGAATGGGAGGCAGGTTTGTCCTGAGCAGTTCCCAGCTTGACTTCTCCCTTAGCTTAGTAATTTTGGGGCCCCAAGACTTTCCTTTCACAACAGATAATGAAAATGTGGTGTATGTATATACACAATGGAGTACTATTCAGCCCTAATGAAAGAATGAAATCTTATCATTTGCCACAGCATGGATAAACCTGAGGAGACAATGTAAGCAAAATAAGCCAGACAGAGAAAGACACGTACCTCTCGCTCAGGTGGAATCTTTAAAACAGAGTTAATCATTAAGAGATCTACCAGTTGTCTGAGGTATTGGGTTGACTTCTGTTTTTGAGACGGAGTCTCACTCTGTCACCATGCTGCAGTGCAATGGCGCGATCTCAGCTCATTGCAACCTCTGTCTCCCGGGTTCAAGCGATTCTCCTGCCTCAGCCTCCCGAGTAGCTGGAACTGCAGGCACGCGTCACCAAGCCCGGCTAATTTTTTGCATTTTTAGTAGAGACGGAGTTTCACCACGTTGGCCAGGCTGGTCTCAAACTCATGACTGGTGATCTGCCCGCCTTGGCCTCCCAAAGTGCTGGAATTAAGGCGTGAGGCACCGCGCCCGGCATGAATTTTGTCTTTCAGTTGACAGAGAAGCAGGGAGAACAGTGGTCACTAGAGATTGTGGGGAAGGAGGAGAGGGCTGGGAGAGGTTGGTCGTAGGCACGAAGCAACCATCAGGAGGACGAATTCTGGTGCTCTCACGCACTGCAGGTGACTGCAACAGTGAGGTATTAGGACAAGCTCCCCTGGTTCGATAATCAGACAACATGTATGTATGTGAACATCAAATTGTACCCATAAATATGTGCCGTTACAATGTGTCGATTAAAAAAAGGTTTTTCAGTTAAAAAATTTTACAACCTTGCTCCTCGCGGTGGGCGGCGCCCGTCGCGGACTCTGCAGGAAGGCGGACCCAGAGCCCGGGAGTGCCGCCGGCTGTGCGCACTTCCGGCGTGACTCCGCCGTGACGCGCCGGAAGTGACAACACCGTGGTCGGCTGCGAAGTGCGGGGCTGGCGCTCTTGCTCGGAGGCGGTTCCCTGGTCCCGGAAGCGCAGCTGCTGCAGCGGGAGGCTTCAAGTGGGGTCCGTTTCGCAGCCCCCCTGGCGTGTGCACGATGCGGCTGGGCGCCGGGACTTTCGCAGCCTGTTGTGTAGCGATCGAGGTGCTCGGGATCGCGGTCTTCCTTCGGGGATTCTTCCCGGCTCCCGTTCGTTCCTCTGCCAGGACCGAACACGGAGCAGAGCCCCCAGCGCCCGAACCCTCGGCTGGTACGGACCCCTCCCGGGCGTCTCCGCTCCTCTGACCCTATTGCCCCTAGAAGACCCTTTTACCCTTTTTCTGAGCCTCGCTGCCCGGATTTCTTCTCAGCGCTTCCCGGTGGTCTCTTCCATTATGGTCCCCATCCCCAGAAATTCTTTTTATTTTCTTTTTCTTTTCTCTCTTTCTCTCTCTCCCTCCCTCCCCGCCTCCCCTCTCCCCTCTCTCTTCCTCGCCTCCCCTCCCTCCCTTCTTCCCTCCCTGCCTCCCTTCGTTCCTATTAAGCGCTCCAGCGCCTCTTTTCTGTATCCCTACAACTTTGTGGCAGCCACTGCTACTGGACACACTTCGACCTTCCTTCCTGATCACAAAGTAGGCTGTGCCCATCCAGCCTCCAGCTCTACTCGTCCAGAGCCCCTGCCCCTTTACTGAGCAGCCTTTGGGTCACTCCCTGCCTCGGGCGCCCATTTTGCCCCCAGCACACAACAGATAAGACCCCTGCCGATCCCCTCGGATTTGGTTCTCTTATGTTCCTCCAAGATGTTTTCCCTAGTCTTCACCTACCCAGCCACACACAGCAAGTAAAGGCGCCCTGGTCTGGACCGCGTGCACACACCACCAGCCACTGACCGTGTAAACGCCCAGCCATCCCGTACCTGCAGCTCTGCGTTTCAGGTCAAGCTCCTTAAATGTCCCATTCCAGGACCCTTATTTAGGGACTCCCTTGCCCCAGTACTTCTCACCATACGA